AGAACAGAGTGGTGACTATGATGTTGGAGAGAGCTGTGCAGGTTGCTCTTTTTTTTTGTTTGTTTGTTTTTGGTTTGTTTTCTTCGTAAGTCTTTCATGCCTACCTTTACACACATGGGATGCCCAGGAGTGACTGCTGAGGGCTGGAAGCACAACTGGCTTCAGATGTCCAGCTCTTCATCCCTGCTGGCTCCGGCACAGCCCAGACACAGCCTGTGAAAACACAGAGGTTAGAGTTACTCGCAAAGTGCTCTCCTGGGGATCAAGAAAGTCCAGTTCTGTTTGTGCAATGAAATCAGGGAGCAAGGGTCTGCTGTCGTGCTTTGCTGATGGGATTCCGGCGGGGTTGTCTTTCAGCGAAAAGACCGAATTTAATAAACCTGCAGCCCGACTCACCCTTTCTCATGTTGTGCTGCACAGCTCTAACGGATTGCTGTTGATAATTTGGAATTATTTTGTTTATGTAGTCTGAGAGCTTCTTTTTCAGCAGCTGACTGGAAATTGAGATGAAGGCAGTCTTAATTTACTTTTAATAAAAGATCAATGGGTTTATTGTGGAAAAAATAGAATACAGATGTAAACTGCACTTGATAAAAGAATTAAATGTGTGTTTAACCTTCCCTTCTTGTTTTTTCAATGCTACTGGTGCTTGACCTTTTTTTGTTTTTGAGACTATTCTCTTTCTTGGTAGTTTTACATTTTAAGTTTTACTCAGACTACAAAAACAAACTCTGCTGATGTTTTTCATCTCAAATGCTTACCAAATCCCTCAGATTTTACAAAATATTTAAAAAGTAATCTCCAGACTTAAGTCTCATTAAAACCTTTGCCCTTCCTGTGGGACAAAAGTTCAGAAGAAGATTTTGATTTGGAAACTGTAAAACAAAAAATATCATGGTGTGAAGTATTAATTTAGACTTGGCAGCTGTGCTGTAAAATTTATTTCCAGAAGTTTTGAATTAAAATGGAGCATATCTAGTAGTATGAGGGAAAGCACCTAAAGTTTTCTTCTTTCATAAGAGTGCTGCAGATATCAGTGAAAATAGTTTTAGAGCTGTTTTTATTAAATAGTCTGTCATATATATATATTGCAATGAATTGACTTGGTAGAAGAAACCACATACTCAGGATTTCCTTAGCCATACTACTTTTTAGTACTGCTTTTTAATGAAACCATTTGATTGATCCTTATAAAGATGCATTTTTTTTCTGTTGTTTTTCTTTACACCTTTATTTTACCTTGTGCTCTCCTGCTTCTTGAGCATTGTGGTCTGGGTGTTATCCCTTTGTGGCCTTTTTCCCATGTTTCAAACGAGACAGAGCAAAATTAGAAAGAGGTCAAAATGACTAGGTGACTAAATGTATGGAGCAGCATATGTCAGAGGAATGAGTAATGAATTTAGGTCCCTACTGACCTGGAAGTCTGTAAAATCATGGGTGACGTGTTGATAAGGCAATGGTTGTTGGCTCATTCGTGCCACAGCGGTGGTGATGATCATCAAGGGGAACTGCAGCTTGCAGGTGGAAGTAAATAGCAGCAGCAATTCAGGGTTGTTAAATGGCTGGCAAAACGCATTGTTACTGAAGTTACCTGGTTATGAAAGTGTCTGTTTCACAAACTGTTGGAGGTCAAGAGAGTATTGGCAAAGTAATGCTACAAGCTTGTGTTACTGTTTTGTTCTTCCCCGAGTATTTTCTATTCACCGCTGCCAGAGAGAGGGTTTTTGACTATTTCACACATGCCTGGTGTGCCCTGTAGGGGCTGTTTTTGGATATCCATGAGAATTTTAAACAGCATCAAAAACAGTGAAATGTTAGGTAAGTGTATTTTATTTCCAGAAACACTTCAAAATAGTACATTGTCCATCTTGTTGGATATTTCTCTACAAAGAATAGGTGAATGGGAAAAAAATGTACAGCTATATATTGGTAGAGTGCATTTCATCAGCAGCTTGTAGTGGATTTAAGAAGCTGAACCACGAGAGAAGTGCTTAGGGATGGTCTGTAAGACGATCCTTTCTGTTGAAAATCTTGTAGATAAGAATTCCCAAGATGGTCTGGGCAATATAAACAGTGCTACTGTGCAAGGGATTTTATATTGTGAGATAAACGCAAAATGTTTTCAGTTGCGGACTAAAGCACTTCTGAAATGGACACTAATTCAATTTGAGGCCAAAGAGTAATGATTTTCGAAAATAGTTTTGCAGATCTTATGAAGTTCTTCTATTGTGATAAATAGCTCTGCAATTGGTCATCCCCTTTCCAGTGTCGGTTTATGTTGGGTGTGTGCTACACATCGGTAGTTTTAAGAATAAGATGCAATATAAATAGTGCTCTTATAGTCAGTTTCTGTTGACTGTGTAATCATTGGAGTCAATAATGAAATTTGAACATGTCCCTTTTTCTTGAAGTATGAGTACTCCTGTACGTGACATGTAATCTGGCTGGACTCTCACATTCAAATATTTCACAGTCCAGGAATAAGGGGATAAAAAAAAAAAGAGATGGATTCATAGTCATTTATTTTCATATTCAGCCTTAACATCTTTAAAGAAGAAAATAAATTTGGAATAAGCACTTACAGGACAAAAAAAGAAAAAAAGGAGCAAGAGCCTTAGAAATTATTGCATTTGATTTAGCAGTTTCTGTGGATTCCCTTTTTAATTATGTCAATATAGAGACTTCCCCAACACCTGATTGGGATATTCACCCTTGTGTGTGTCTGGGTTCCCACTTCCTTGCTGGATGATTCATGGGATGTGGGTTCAACCAGTAGAGTAAATAAGGTACAAAAAAAAAAAGCGGAAGGATATTGAAGAGCATCAATGGAAACCTCACAACTATTTACTCCTCTTTCCATCCTCAGTAGGGAATTATGATCCCCAAATAAAAACCGAATCTACTTTCATGGATTGGATAATCCTTTTTCCCATTCCTCCTTTGCTCAGTGCTAATGAAGTTTTTTGTTACAGCCAATCCAGGCATGCTGCAATGCAGTTAGTTTTACACATCGTATTTGTGACAGAAAATGATGCTGTAGAAGTGGGAAATATAGACTGGGGGTATGATTGTGCACCTGTAGGATTCACAGATGGGGTGTCATTTAGGAAATCCACAAGTAATTATGTTTAATGTTGTAATATCTGACTGAAAAGGCTTATCTTTCCCTAATCCTTAATTTGTTTCACCTGAGTAATGGTGACTAAACGTGTTCGTAGGCATTGCATTCCCATTCCTTTCAAGGGTTTCTGTTTCGGGGGCACAGCACCTCAAAGTGGCGTGTGCCAGCCAGATCCCTTCTCTGGTTTAGAGAACTTTTGGATGCCTTGAGGCTTCGGTTTGTGCGTGGAGCCGGAGGAATTTTGTTTTAACTTCATGTGGAAATTCGAAGCAAACGGATCACAGAGGAGGGGTTGGTGACTGGAGAGAAGGGGTCGCTCCGGGTGAGTTAGCCCGAGCTCGTGGTGAAGAAAAGGGATGAAACAGTGTCCAAGCTGAGCAGGCGTCTCGCAAGGACCCGCCAGGGATCTGACAGGGTTCAACATAGAGTTTCCCCCCCGCCCATACAGGCAGTTGTGATTTCTATCAGACATAATACTTCTTACTCCGCAATTTAAAGTTGATGGGATAATGAAAAAAAGTTCATTCTCTTACTGTAAATAGCGTCAAGAGTCGGACAGTCAGAGAACAAAAAGCAGCTGGAATCTCTGTAAACATTCAAAATTGCTGCTCCTGATTCTCCAAAGTGACGTGTTGTTGCATAAGGGTGTGTATAAAAGGATCGCAGAGCTTGTGGACACCACATTTTAAAGCACAACTTTATCACCAGACTGGGCACAGGCTTTGTATCAGCTCCTGCTCAAACACCGGTCAGCTGCACTCCAGACCGCTCTGCCTTGTTCATAGGTGTTGAAAAAAATCATCTGCTTCTCTTTAGTACTTGGCAAAGATTCAAACTGCTCCTATGAAGATCATCATCCTCATTACCTATTTAAAGTCATTGAAATGAAGAACTCTTTAATTGCATCAAGTGCAGTGTGACTTAAGATAACCCCCAGTATTTTTCAACTGTTGCTTCAAGACCTGCATAACTGAAATCCTCGGACATTTGCATCCTGTTGACTCTATGTTTTTCAAGTTGATATATGTAGTGAATTTCCATTTTAAAAATTAATTAAATATTTCCACCATATGGCCGTGGAGGTTGAGAGGGAATGGATTAAATGACTAATTGGTCAAAGATAGGTTTTTGACTTAAGTTATAGGGCAATGAGTAATCTTATTTTAAATCAGCCAAAGATCTGATTAGAGGAGGTCATTGTTGCTGAGGTGGTGATTTTCTGTGTAGCAGAAGGGGAAAAAACATTGCTGTTTAGCTTCTGGGAATGTCTGCAAAGAATACCTGTTTAATAAATCAACAAAAATGGTAGAATTTCATTAATCATTATCTGTAAGCTCTTCCAGAAAAATTTCTATGAATTAAAAGGAAAACATTGCTATTTAAGGGGCAGTGAACAAAATGCTCCATCACTAGTGTAGCATAAATAGTATCCTGCTTACTGTGAAATGTTCTTTTTCTGTTAGGAAGGTGTTTTTTGTCTGTTACTCACTAGAATGAAGAACATTTGCAGCAAGCTGCTTTTTGAGGTGCCGAATTTTCTAATGTCAGCACCGGTTCAACAGGACTCTAGAGGATAACTTTAAATACAGAGTTTCAGTAAGCAAAGCCAACATTTCTCAATTTCATCTTGGACACTGTAAAATGTATTATCTTAATTTTACATTTCTTTTCAGGCACCAAGGTTAAGTTTGTATTCCTGAGTTTATGCAGAAATTACTAAAGGATAAGCCTGTGTTTACACTGAGGCTGTTTCTGACTCGTTTTGCTTAGATTAGGTTAAAACTATTCCTTGTTCATAGGAAAATCTGGAAACTTGTAGCCAGGATGTCCTTGTGCCATTGATATGACTACTACTCTTCTTTCCTTTTCTCCTTTCTAGGGTCAGTACAGGCCCTCTGACTTGTTGTGCCCAGAGACGTACGTCTGGACGCCCATTGAGCAATGTCTCCCCCTGCTCGAGCTTTCCAAATACTCTCGTTTCAACCAGGACACAAAAGCAGGTAAATTCACAAGTAATGATAAATAAATTGCCTGTCTTGTTTTTGCCATGTGTTGGTATCATCTGCTGCTGAAACGTTATAGAAATGTTATATTTAAAGGGGAAAAAAAGTCTGAAATTCACAACTCCTTCTGCAAGCATTAACAAATAGGTAGTTTTGTCTTTGAACATATTCAATACAATTTTTAAGTCCATTCTGTTTTACAGATTGTATGTAGTTCAAGATTGACGTATGTTGGTGTTTTTCAGGAAATTATGTTATTTGGTGTGTGAATGATCAAATGATTATTCCTTCCTTAGATTCTAGCCTGATGAAGGCACAAAGAAAGGAAGTTAGAATCAGTACAGGAAGGTGAAAGGGCTGGAGGACCTTAAAGGCATCAGGTGCTTTTGTGAAGAAACAAACTGCCGAATTTAGCTTAACAATCTGTCTGAGATTTGGAAGAATGCAACAAACAGTAGAAACACCTTAAGCATCTTGAATTAGATGGGGCATAATTTTTATATTCTGTAGCAGAGTTACTTAGTGATTTGCCAGCATAGAATGGTGAAAAATGTTACAAAAGTCAGGTCAGATGCAGTGCTACAGATACTGGTTTAAAAGTTCTAGTAGCAGGATTTATTCAAGGTGTCCTGTACAAATCGATAATGTTCCTCAGTGACTGTGCAGGTAACCATGTGGTGTGGGAAATAGCCTCGGGAATGCGCTTGGGTGCGCTTCGAAAAGACCATTTATCAGCGTGGGAAAAGCTGGTACGTCATGTCCTCATCAGCTAGAATTGTCATCAGATTGGTGAGAGGAAATAAAAAGAAAATTAGAGGTAGGAGGAAGAAGGGAAGTGGTTGTGGAGGGCAGTGGTAGTGTTAAAGTTATTCTCGTTATGCTGGAGGAGAAGAAGTGCATTCATTGGAGCCCAGGAGTGACAATAAGACTACTGTGTTTGAAGGTGTTAACCCCATACAAGCGAAGGGGCGTCATCATCTTCTTGATTCTGCGAAATTCCTGTGGGATACCACACATTCAGAAACGGCAGGGTATAAAACTCTGCATCATTATCAGCACAAAATGTCTCACTCCAGACACTACTGGAGCTGTGACTTACGTCCTGTGGTTTAAGGAAATTGAAACATAGCTACATGTTGAAGTGTGCAAGACCTGCTGAGAGCTTATAGCCATTTGAGGTTTCAAGAGTTGCTGGTTCTAAGGAAGCTATTTCTCAACAGTAAAATCAGTTTCCTTCTTATTTCTTTACTCTCTACAATAGTCAGCAATATGAGTTTAATTAAGTTACTGCGAATTACAAAAACAGCAATAGAAATGATGATGTGCTTTATTCCTCGTGAATAGCTTTCTATAATACAGCCTATAATTACGTCAGTTAAGTAGGTCGTGATTTATCAGCAGTGGGACTTCCTACTTAGAAACTCAGGGCACTAACCAGATCCAGTAAACAACTGGGAGAAATGGTGTGACTTGTGTTGTTGTCTGGGGCAATAAAACAGCCAGTGGAAATGGTCATCTTTTAATGTCATCTGCAATGTCAGAAAATTCTTGAAACACGACCTCATGCTAGTGTGTTCATCAAGTTTGGCAATTTTCAAACTCCTTTTCCCTCCCTTGAAATAAAGCTACCTAATAAATTTACCAATTGCAGGTTGTGAAAGTGCATTATGTTGACAAAAAGTAGTGAAAAATTTTCTAAAGCACCAGAAAATATTCATCAGCATTTACAGAGGATTCTGCCTGTTTTGCATTATGTGGTTGTCCTGTGCTTGAACATTTTCAAAGGGTTTTAGAGTGTATTGTTTTCCATCCCCTTCTCCTCTGACGTCTAATACTTTTGTTCACTGTTGGAGAATGAAGAGAGGAGAGATGAACTAAACAAAGTTCTTAACTCGTTATACTACAGAGATAAGTCTAAAAAAATGTCTAACATTAAATAACCAAATAAAGCAACTGCAGACACTGTAATAATTTTTTTTTCGTGTTACTATTTAGGGTGGCAAATCATGGGTGCCTGATGGCTGAAATAGATCCAACTCTTTACTTCTGGCCAGTGTAATGAGATTCAACCTTACTTAACCTCAGAACACTGCAGTCGTACAGAGAAAACGATGAGTTCTTGTGCCAGCAAGCTCTCAGATTTAATATTTAAACAAACTATGCTGGTAGTCATTTTATGTGCAGATCATAACATGTATTAAAAAACATCAGTGACTTTAGGGAGAAAAAAAATGCATAGCAATGCTCCAACAGCATTCATGGGTAAAAGGTCACATTTGTCAAATATTCTTGCTTTTGTAATATTGGCAGAACTGGTAATTTACATGTCTTAAACAGAACAGATTTTTCATTTCTTTTGTCTGCTGAGTTTGAAAAATTCAGGAGACCTGGCATCATCTTATAAATGACAGAGGTTTGCTGAGGTTCTGATGTGTTTATCATTAAGCAGCTACCAGTCCCTTACTTACAAATAAACCAGCAGTTAGTGAGGTGGAGTAGTAACAGAGAGTTTGAATAGTGATGAGTTCCAAAACCAGAGATTATGCTAAACTGCATTTTCTTGAAGTGGTATATGGGTCCTTCTCTTTATGGTAAGGATTGAACGTATATGAAATGAATCTGTAAATGCAAACTGAGTTATGCTGAAGATAAAAGAACTAAATTAAAAGATTGCTCTGCAGAAAAGTACTCGTCAGTGACTTGGACAGTATTTCACAACTGATGTCCAAAACTCAGCCACATGATAGCATGCTGCTAAAGTATTCTTGGCCATGGTCAGTCTTTCACACTAGTCAACTGCCTCCTTGCAAAACAGGTCTTCATCGGTTTACTTCGTTGTTCCTTTCACTAGCAGTTATGTCTATGAAGCAAATACAGTTTGAAAAGAATTATAAATAATTTACTTGATATCTCAGCATAGTTTTATCCTTCTGACTTCTGTCTTTCTGATTCCAAACCACTGGCATCTTTTTTTTCTAACTTTTTTTTTTTTTTACCCAAGTGAAAAAGCTGTGCTTGACCTGGGTCACAAGGCATGGCCTTGCTTGGAGCAGAAGCTTTGAGTAGTGCTGATCAAAGGGGATTTTAATGTGTTTTGTTTTGGTTTTATCTTGACAGGTTTGTTTGCTGAAGCTAATAATTGCCAAAGCTAATACTTATCTGTTCAACTTACTGTACATCTAATAGCGGAATGAAATTAAAATGTGTATCAAATACTTTAATTAAAATTCAAGTCATTTCTCCAGTGTTGATACTTACATGATCAAGATCAAGATGTACATAGACTACTCTGTGTTGTCTGTGCAAATTCTTGGAGAGAAGATGCTTTCTGCTCTAGAGAGTGTAGTCTAACATGAAACACAAAGGATGCTAAAAGATGGTATTAGGAAATGGAGAAACAACTCAAATTGGTGTGGTAGATTAATCAAGCATCAACAGCCTAAGCTATATTATATTTTTGTAAATGCTATGAGGAAGGAGAGTTTCGAGGAGGGATCTAGGGAAATACATTAGTTATCTTCTGGAGTTTGTGGAGAAATCTCTCCCAGCATGAGAGGTGTGGGAGAAATGAAGCAGGGAGCATGGGGAGATGCAAAGGAGCTTCCTTCGAGAAGAGAGGTGCCAGGTCCTGCAGTCAGTCAAAGGCAGAACTTACATTGCCAGCTGTTGATGACTGAACACGTGAGGTTGGAACAGACTGAAAAATATTTTCCTCTTCTTCAGAAGTACATCTTTCCCACGTATTGTAGCTACTAACTCAATTTTTTAACAGATTTACAGCATTGTTATTCTGCTGCACATAATAAGCTAGAGCAGTAAAAGACAAACAACATTCCAAGTATTTAATAACTTGAATCCTCTTGATTATGCATCTTAACTCTCAGTTTCTTGCAAAAACATTATTAATTTTATTGTAAATAAAACCTAGAATTCCTACTCGGAAGTCTGCAGGGTTGGGCGGTTGTGCAGAAGTGTATTTATTTTCAATATGTATTTGTATACATAATGCTTTCACTAGAAAAATAATCTCTTGCAACTATTTCAATAACCCTGATTTTTCTAGCGCTATGTTTTTCAAAACACTCAATGTACAGCTTAGATGCCTTTCTTTGCTAATAAGAAGGACTTATTTCAAACATGTTTTGCATTTGTTGCATCTGTGAACACAAACATTTTGGTCATTTCTCATCAAGCACAGAGGCTGTTCAATTTGAAGATATATTTAGAAGTACATTGTGTTTGCGTGATGTTGTTCTTCCTCCTCCTCCCTCTCTTGGAGGCAAAGCCACGATCACATACTTGTACCCACAGGATGCTGTACCCCTGGGCTGCCAGCTGGGCACTCTGGTGGTTGGGGTCGGCAATTTATTGGTGTAGTGTCACGTCTTCAACGCCGGTCAGACAAAACCATTCAGATGACAGCACACATTAATGTCTGCAAGGGTAGGGTAGTGCAGATTAATGTGTACGAGGATCAACGCGCTGAAGTTCTTGGGATCACGGAAATGTAGCCACAGAAATATCACAGATGGAAAGCCTTAAACAAATTGTTTAGAACTGTGCAATCTTCTGATTTCGGGGGAAGTTGCTGCTCTGCTCTAAAACAACTGCTGTTTGTCAGCCTTTAAAGCTGTGGGGTTGTGTACTTTGGAGAGGTCTGAAAGCATTTCAGTAAATTCTATTAGATCATTAAATATTATTAGATCGTTAATTAGTCTAAAGAACTAGCTCTCCACTATTTTATCACAGCTATAGGTAGTGAACGTGAATTCTGTAACCAAGAAGAAGAAGGACACGTGAATATTAAATTATTTGTAGCAGCTCCTCTGAACGAGACAAGTTTATCTGTTTCTAATTAGTTTATAAACAACTGAAGTCATCAAACACATATTTCTAAATCCAGTGCAATCCTTGAGCATACAAGATACTTAAACAATGCAGGCAGTGCCAATAAGGTGTAGCCAGGCAAATTTTTTTCACTCTTTTTTTTTATTATG